CCTGCGCGTCCCGGTTTGCGCACCCATTTTTCCGCTTGGCGTGGTCCTCAACCTCCTTGCGGCTGCGGAACAAGCGGCTGCAGAAAGTGCACCGGTGGCCCTTTGGGAGTTTTGCTTGGCCCCCATGACTGATAGCGCTGGAGTCGGATTTTGCAGGTGCGGCTGATGGGTCCTTTGACGCTTTGGTTGGCGCAGAGGCATCCTCCGAGCTCGAAGCAGCAAAGGTTGGTGGCTTGGCCGCGCCCGCCTTCCGCGTCACTGCTTGGGACTTGTCGCGAGGTCCAAGCTCGCCCCACGCTGCCCTCCCCCTTGGGGCGGGGGCCCGGTGACTTTGGAACCAGCGCCACTGCAGGGGGGGATGCTTCGCCCGACGGCTTTGGAGTCGAGGTCGGCACTGCAGGTGCTGCAGGGGCCGTAGCAGTCGAAGGTGAGGGAGAGGCCCGAGGCTTAGGCTTCTTCTTCTTCTTCTTCTGCTTCGGCTTTTTGCCCTTGGTCTTGTGACCCGAGTCCACCCCTTTTGTGGGAGGGAGGGATGGACTTTGCGCGGCCGAGGCTGCCTCGCTAGCCGTGGGAATGTCGGGAATGGCTCCCAGATTCTCCGTGGCTGGCTTAGCGACCTCCCTCTCGCCAGCAGAAACAGAACGACGCACCTCCTCGAGTTGGTTAGACATTGTCTGAACCTTCTCTGAGAGGGCGATCATCATGTCAATGAGGCGGTCAAAGGAATCCCGGCCTTGGGTATCCGGGAGTGGCTCGCGGTGTGACTGGCTGCTATTCCGATCATCGACAGGCAGGGTCCTCATGTCCACGTCGGGCCCAGCTTCAGCTGGATGTGCCGGGTTGTCGGAGTGAGGGACGGGGGTGCCTCTTTGTCCAGCGGCCCCACTGAGTGGGTGTTGCTGGGAGTCATCCCCGAGGACCTCTTCAGGCCCAGCTTTCGCCTGGGGAGCCGCTTCCGGAGCGGTCTGATCTCCCTCGAGCACAGGCAACGAGCCCTGCGCCTTGGGTTCTGGACTGGTCCGTAGTGCTTCCCTCGGCTTGGCTGAGTCGGGCCGGGCTGGGGGGCATCGATGCCGCTTACGAATTTTGCGGATCTTCTGTCCCCAAAAGACGTGGTGACAACCTTTACATTTCGCAACCACTGACGAGAGGTTGCTGGTGTTGAGGCTGTCACCGCTCACCGTTGGGACACCTTGTTCGCCCGCTTTGAATCCCGGAAATTCCGGGGCGGGTTTTCCAAGGTGTGTCCCTGATCCGTCGAAGGGGTTCTGAATTGCCTTCTCCGGCTCCGAAGACGGTTCGACCGTGTTCAACACAGGTTCGAAGAAAACGATCTTTGGAGGGGGCGGGTAGTCTGTTTCGGTGAGTGTCTTCGCCTCAGCGGCGGCCTTCCTTTTCTTTTGTTTCCGACCTCGCACTTCCAACTGTTGCTGGTTGTCGTGCCCGGGTGGATGGACTATGACCACATTTGGCACGTAGCCAGTGGGCAAGTCCAAGGGTTGCTGCGGAACAGCAGACGTCTGGCCGGGGCCCTCTTCAGGACGTTGCTTCTTTGTTGGTGTCTCCTCAAGGTCAAGCGCTTTGGCAGAGCGCTTGCCCTTTCTGCGAGATGCAGGGGCGCCAACGTACACCGTCAGTGAGAGGGCCTCGGGGTCCTTCAGGGGTGGCGAATCCCTTTGAACCTCCCCAACAGGGACAAGACGGGCTGGCTCGCCCTGTTGGGGCCCGGGGGCGGGAAGGGCTAGGTGCTTCTTCCCTCGACGGCGTTGTGGCTTGCCATCGGCCGCCCTTTGTATGGGCGGACTCATAGTGCGAAGATTACTCCCCGCAGAGCGCTCTTTCTTAAGCCTTCCGTCAGAGTCCGGAAGACCCACCACCATATAGTGTCTGTACTTCCCACTAACCGTGGTTCGCTGCAGATCGGCTTCCAGCTGTCGGGTTGTGACCATACCCCGCCTAGCCGTAAGGCCGGCGGGCCACGAGACCGACGAAGGTCCGCTTGGTACCGACAGTGCCACAGCTTTTCCTGCAGTAAGATGGTGTCGCAGGGCCCCAATGCCCCACTACCCCTTAGGCCGCTTCAGCCGAGCCGGCACCACCCTGTGCAGGGAGGCGGGTACTACCCGGTTTCTGTGGGACACGCGCGTTGAAATCTCTCAAACTTCCTAATCTAACTGATCGCTTGGCAGGCGTTCGAAGGCAGTTGTAGGTAGCAGGATCGCTTGTGAGCGCTTGAGAGTGTTTGAGAGCTTGAGTGCAATGAGAGTTTTTTATTTCAACTGGAGTGGCGTGAACCAGCTACCAGATGGTTCGATTAGTCTTTCGCCCCTATACCCAAGTCTGACGAACGATTTGCACGTCAGTAGCGCTGCGGGCCTCCACCAGAGTTTCCTCTGGCTTCGCCCTGCTCAGGCATAGTTCACCATCTTTCGGGTCCCAACGCGACTACTCAACGCACCCCGGGCGCCGAGGCCCCCGGGGCGGTCCGTGGTGCGGGCAGCACGAGGCCGCCTTCTCACGGGTCGCTTTCACTGTCGCCATTGTGGTTTTCAACCCATTGGCTCGCAGCCGCGTTGGCCTCCTTGGTCCGTGTTTCAAGACGGGTCGCATCAGCCCGTTTCGCCAGCGCCGACCCGTGAGGGCCATCCTCGGTCTCCGCCGCGGTGGGAGCGAGCTCCTTTTCCCGCGGCATCGACCGGCGCTGCGTACCTCCGGGCCCCGCGTGAACGGGTCCCGCAGGTGTGCTTGGGCTCATGCGCTTATCCTCCTGACGATTTCAAGCACTTTTTACTCTCTTTCCAAAGTTCTTTTCATCTTTCCCTCGCGGTACTTGTTCGCTATCGGAAACCTGGCCGTATTTAGCCTTGGATGGAGCTTACCACCCATGTTGGGGCTGCACTCCCAAGCAACCCGACTCTTCGGATGCGCCTCGTGAAGTGACGGGTCGTCGCCCGACGGGGGTGTCACCCTCTCTGCCGCCACTTTCCAGTGGACTTAAGGCGGCGCCCGTCACAGAGAACGCTTCCTTTTCAGACTACAATTCGGAGGGCCGGAGGCCCTCGGATTTCAAGCCTGGGCTTTTCCTTGGTCGCTCGCCGCTACCAAAGGAATCACGGTTGTTTTCTTTTCCTCCGCTTAGTAATATGCTTAAATTCAGCGGGTGGTCTCGCCTGACTTGAAGCCATCGCTTGGGGGTTTGCCCGGTTCTTCCCCGGTCCGACCATTTTTGTACGGGCCCCGTCCGCCCCTCGCCCGGTCCGTGCACGCTACTTTGGAGGGCGGAGACCGAGGGTTGCCACGCCCTCGGCTCCATTTTTCCGTTTCGCGGCCTTCTCGGGAGAGGAAAAGAGGAACGGTTTGGCATCCGATACCCCCCCACCTGCTGGGAGGTCCGGACGGGGTCCGTTGGCCGGCTGGGTTCACCGAGCCCAGCGGGGTCGCCACCCGCCTCGTTTCGCTCGTCCCGCTCGCGTCCTCCCGGTTGGCATCCGGGGATCTGCACTGGGGTCGAGACGGAGAGGAGACGGGCTTGCGGCGGCCCTGCGATTTCAGCCGACTGCCCCCCGTTGTGCACGGGTTGCGACGGCCATCTCGTTTTCCCAGGTACGGGCGATTGTCTCGAGCAAAACCCGAGCGCCCCTCGTATGCCGACGCATTTTGGCAGTTCCGTCCCGTTCACCCGGCCGCACGTAGCCGCGTGCGGAGGGTGTGGGTGCGGATGCGTGGCTCCACCTGGATGTGTGTGGCGTTCAAGCAGACGTGCCCTCGGCCGAGGCCTCGGGCGCAACATGCGTTCAAAGTTTCGATGATTCACGGAGTTTTGCAATTCGCATTACGTATCGCATTTCGCTGCGTTCTTCATCGAGCCAGGTTCCAAGATATCCATCGTCAGGAGTGGGGTCCCAGTTTTTATTAGGTGCCGGGGCTCATGGGGGCCCCGCTCAAGGGGAGGGTTTTGCGACCGGACGGCCAGTCCCGATCGCGGAGAGGTCTATATCCCGTGCCCGTTCGCAGCTCCTTGATGCACTGCGACCGGACCCGGCTGAGAAACGGTCCCTTGCCATTACCACGGGCGCTCCTTCCCAGCCGACCGAAGAGGATTTCGGAAGGCCGGGCGAGCAAGACCCCGCAGTCACACCGGCCGGTGCCAAGAGAGACGGAGCACCGGTGGCGGGGGACGCTAGGAGGGAGGAGGATTCCGGCAAGCCAACTTTCTGAGGATACGTCCTAGGTCAGGCGTCGAACTTCCCGGTGCTTCCGCTTTTGGGAAAGAGTCCGACCTGTTACCATCGGGGGAAAAGGGATTTGGTTTTTGTTCCGCATGGACGCCCGGTGCCGCCGGGAAGCAGGCTCCCTGGTGTCGAGGTTCGTCGAGGTGCG